GATGGAGACCTCTGATAGATTACTGTTGCAGCGATGCAGCAAGTGCTGCAGAGATATTAACATGGAGAGAGTACTCAGACAAATAGGTTGTGGATAAAAGATAGCTGAGGCATAAAGAGTGAATATATAATATGCCTTGGAAAAGCAAAATGCTCTGCTTAAGCAGTGTGCCGTTAGCTGCTTCACATTTCACTCCGATGGCCCTCCAGGACGCCCTACTACTTTAATACTAAAACAAAAATATGTCCCCCATCGTAAGTATGATGCAGTAATATGTGACTGTGGCTTTAATATTCCAGAAGCGCCCTCACAGAAAATATGATTATGGCATCAGGGAGGAAACCAGAGCAGGTCAGAAGACTGAGGGAATATAATTCAAATCATTTGCGCGACTCTGCCAATGATGGAGGAGCTTCAAGCCCACAGCTTTGCTGGGAAAATAACAATGCAGAAATAAACCGAGTGCCGCGCCACACTCAACCACAGGGGAGGTCAAAGCTGACAGCGGGAGAAAAAAAATTAATAAAAATCATATTCGGGATGCTGCGAGGTACGAGCTCCGAGTGCTGCCAATTTGATTTAGCTGTGAAAATACTTTTCATTTTGTTTCATAAAGACTCTCATACTGCACCGCCCCCTATAGAAACAGGCCTCCATGATTTGCTTACAATTTACAACCAAGGTCATAATCAAAGCCAGTGTCTCCTCTGCATGTTTAATGCTGCCTTAAAGAAGACTGGAATCAAAATTCATCCTTTTTACTTCAGAAAGTCTCCAATTCTTTGCTGCTCTGATTAGTTTAATGCTCTGATGGATAGACCCGGCGTCCGGAGTTAAAAAAGAATACTAAGTAAAGATTTTCATATTCATCCTTCTGGTACCACATGACTCTCTCCCTCTCCGTCACTGCACATCGTTGCTGATCGGTCACAGCATCCAGACCACTTCACTGGAATAATGTCTATTTGGTGTTCTTAATTACATCTGGATAGCACGCATCACATATATGTCTGAGGAATACAATACAGGGGGCTGTCTGACTGTGAGTCATCATTAGAAAAACCTATTGTCTGTAAAAAAAAATAATAATAATAAAAATCCAAAAGTGAGTCACCTGGAAATGTAGTGACACAGCAAGTTTCTCATGAGACGTGTTGCTGTCATATCCATCAACAGGAGGAGGTGACAGGACGACTCGTCTCGCCTGTGTGTGTGTGTGTGTGTGTGTGTGCAGAAGCAATGACTGAAATATTTTAACACATCACAGTAACCGTCTCCACGGACTGATACGACACCTTCAGTGAGAACACACTCACAGTTTGCTAGGTTTTATATACAGTCTGTTTTCTCCAGGCAGGATGTTTTTAAAAACAATAAAAATGTTAAACATCATTATGAGAAGTAACAAAAGAGTGAATACGAGCTAATAACATAAAGGTGCAGTAACTGTTTTTGGCCAGTACCAGGCAGTACCATGGACCGATTTCACCGTGCCGATCATTGAAGGACTGTTAAAGGATCATTGAGGATCGGTGAATTTTCAAAATGGATAATTTTCCAGACTTTAGTCTGAAAGACATATTATTTTTAAAAATGAACAAATAATCATTAAATGAACTAAATGGAAATGACTAATGCACATTTTTCAAAACCCACCTGCAGTAGAGTATTTCATCTAGTATGCTTGCCTACCAGTTGTAGTGGTGTCACTGATATTATATAAAACATTTTAAGTACTATTCTGTTTTTTACTTTAATGAATCAAAATAAATCCTTACAGGTCTCAGTTCTACGTAATCCAAACACACAGAGGTGGCCGTGGATCAGTACTTATATACAGCCCAATTTGTAGCACAGTAACACATCTTCCCAAAATAACAGAGATAAAAGCTGAAAACACACAGAAACAGAATACAGTATTTGAGTCTCACAAACTGACAAAAACTCAACATGTGACCCTGTAACTGGATGTCACAGCACAAAACCTGGTTCTGATAACTACATCTGACATCTAGGTTTAACAAAATATTATATATATATATTTAATTTAAAAATGTTTGAAAACCTTGTCCGTCATGGTTTATGCCCCAGTGCCTTTTTTAATCATTTTGTTTTAGATCAAAGGAGACCTCCCTACAGTAGACCTTCCCACTCTCCTCTCAGTTGAGAGCAAACAAAAACAGAACGATCTAATTCCTCGACATTCGTGGCATCCTAATTTGGACTCAGGTTTGATTTATCAATTATTTTTTATCCTTCTGTGGGCTCATGAATTATTCATTTTAGAAAAAAGAAAAGTTGCAGGCAACATGAATCCTACGTGGGCTCTGAATTTGGCCCATGGGCCCATTGGCAGGATACAAGACAATGTTTTTTTCCATCATAATAAAAACTTCCAGCCTAATAAACCACTGTCTGCAGAAGTGGTCTGTCTTTTGTCTTTTGGTTTCCAACGATATAACATTTCCTGTGTCACGTCACAAACCTGCTGGTCTGCCAAATATTCACCACTGAAACTATTATGGCCTCCCGTACAGCATATACTACCATATACATGCCATTATTGGGTACTGTAAGAGCATCAAATGTTTATTTGCTGATACCAATGGCCACCATGACACAACATCAGTCAAATGAAATAAATATTTTACTAACTATAAAAATATTTTACGGCAGCTTCAAAGTGCTGGAACATTGAAATGTCAGTTTTCCAATGGGCAATATTTCACCATCAATTATTCAGATGATGGCTTTTTGTATTGGTCAATAAAGTCTTGAGAAATATCTTCTTTTTCCCCACATACCAGAGGTAATGAATTTTCCTGAAACCAGAAGATCCAAATTCATGGCCATGAATTTTGAGAACCTGTTGTGTTAAAAAAAAAAACCCAAAACAAACTTCCTGGATTATTGTCAAGTAGACATTGATTGCGATCCATGATGACCTTAATTACTAGTAATTGAGCTTGTTTTTATGACTAACTGTACTGAGCCCAGTCCATAAACTGTCACACACACTGTGAAATGAATATAATTGTTTCCCAAACACTGTTGTACTGTTAAATGTAAATCATCCTAACAAAGTATTTTATGACTGCAGTACTGCTAAGACAACACACCGTAGGAGAACTATTCAGCTTTGTGCTGCTTTGATTTCAGGATGAACTGCAGCTCAGTTGAAGTAAAGGCCAAACTGATCGTCCTTCTCCAGCAAACACCATCACTCCATCACAAACGCCTGAAGTTTGCAGTTGACAAATCAGAGAGATGTTGCCGTTGCCTCCTAACTGCACCACTGAACTGGATTCTGATCCAGTGAGAAAATTCTAGACGTTCCCAAATTTATTGTTGAATAAAGTGGCAACACTGAGAGCGGCTGACAGGTCATTCATCCTGGCGGGCGTTGGTCCAGAGGCGTGCGCGGACAGGACTGCTGTGCTTTGATTTCCTGTCCTGGCAGCCATGACGGATGAGCTATGGAGAGGGTGGAGGCGATGCAGCCACTCACCACCACAAGCCTTCACCTCTCTCTGCCCAACAGTTCAGCCACACTTGATGGAGCCTCAACAGCCCCCCAGGGTTGCGGAGGTGGATGTGATGAGAGAAGATACTATCAAGTACTTATATTGATGATGAGTAGTACAAAATACACAGAAATATTTAAATCACTAAAAATAATAACCAAGATATTCTATTAGTAACGGCTTAAATGGTTCAAGGTCACTATTAGTCAGAAACCCCAGCAGCAACAGAAGAAGGTGGTTTTACGGCCTTTTAAAAATGGAGCGGGGACAAATTCAAAAATGGCCAAATGTAACTGTTGATATTCCTCTCAGATCTTTCATCTCACAGATGGTGTCGAAGCAGAAATCACATCTTTTAACCAGCGGGCCAAACCCAGGGGAATCTATTTACTCTGAGAATATCAAGGCTGAGAAAGTTCACAACAGATTGATTGAGTGATTTTCCACAATAACCCACTAATGAGATCATTTTCAGTAGAAAATGAGTCAATAATAAATGGCTGAGGAGAAAAGGGAGGGCGAGCCGCCGTGGTTCCTCCAAGACAAATAACAATTCACGGTTCAAATCAAAGCAGGCAATAAGAGGCCGGTGACAGTCGCATTCTGGGAGAAAACACTGCAAATTACAGGCAATGTGAGCACATTTCAGCGCACAGGCAGTTCATTTTTCACATCAGTGTCTACTTTTGTCCCCGGCAGGCTGCCAAAGACATTGATGTAGGCACTATACCCCCCTCCACTGCTGTAATTACGCTCCCTGGCCAAGACTTGATTAAAAGATCTAATCTGCAAACTTTGTGTTCAACATCTCCCAACAAGTTCTAGTTCTGAAGGCTGGTTCTGTGTGCCTTTGACGGCATTGGCATTCACAGATGTTATATCACTGACAGCAGCCAATAAAGAGCAGGCAGGGTTTCTTCAGTGTTTTGATTCTGCGTGAGGTTGGAGACGCGATTGCATCAGTAAAATGTACCACTCCGAGACCAAACCCAAGGATTAGACGTAGAATAAAACAGAGTGGGAGAAAACTCCGGAGGCCTTTTACCTGTCAGAGTCCACATTTAAAAACAGGTAACGTGTTGCTTTTCTCCCTGAAGATCAGTTATGGCATCAGAAAATGATTATTCTGAAAAATCTCCTTTTTAAAGGCTGGCTCTTTTTTTATTTTTTATTTTTATTCTAAAGTATCCTATTAGAGACTGATGTACAATTCTATCACCAATCCCTAATCATGTCTCACTCCAGACCTACTGCACAGTGGATGTCATTATGACAACACGAATGTGGTACAGCAGTCCTAAATCACCAAATACCATATGGTGCAGAAGGGTCAAAACGGTAAAGAGTGAGCAGAGACATGATTGAAGTTATTGGACACTTCTCATCACACAGAATGTGCAGCTGCATGGCTGTGAGAAGCCCTCAGAGACGGACGGTGCCTGTGACAAAGTCATAAACAGCTGTGATTGCCCTTACCCTCTCTGAGCAGATGGGAGTAGATGAGCCAGAGGAGCAGCAGGCAGCAGAGTGACGCACCTCCACCTGCGGAGAGCGTCTTCACTCCAGACTGCATCCTACACCTTTTAGCCTGTCAGATTATCCAAACTTTGCACGCCTTTAGATGTCAAGCTGATCCGCGCAAGAGAAGCTAATCCAGTGGCGTCTCCCCAGCCTGTTGTCGGCATCCATTTTGAGGCAATAATAGAAGAGGGGCTAATAGTAATCCCTCCGGTGCTCTTCAAATTCCCTCTGTGAGCCGCATATCCATCCAGGCTGCGCGCACACACACACACACACACACACACACACACCTGCACACACTGGGACCAATGTCACCAGATCTGGATAAGTTTACGCAGCGTTCACAGGCAGAGGCTGACAGTCAGGGTGGTGTGAAGATGAGGAGTGAGAGGCAGAGGGGCAGGAAGGCTCTCCTGCAGTTCTGATCCAAACACGGAGGAGGAGATGACGCTGCTGGAGAATTCAGCCGCTCACAGCCAACTGGACGCCGCTGTCACCTCTTTTCTCCTCGTTTGCGCTGCCAACTCTCAGCATCATCATCATCATCATCACCATCATCATCATCATCAATATTTTCCCAACTTCTGCACCAATCCTGGCTCTTCGTGACTCTACACACCGACGCGCAACTTCACCCTGGATGGAACTTGAAGTCACTCCAGACAAAAACAGCACATGCGTCATATGTGGCTACGTTTGCGCAGCAGCGCCAACCAAAGGGCACGTCCGGAGCAGAGGAGCTGCGGCTCTCCCTGCACCGCGGCGTCAGAACAGTGTGCGCCTCAGTGGTGGAGAAGGAAGTTCGACTGCCTGGTCACCTGTATGAGCCTTTAAAGAAGAGAGGGGGAAGGATTTGTTTTCTTGCAAATGGAGAAGCGCTAGTGCCAAAGACAGACAAAGAAAGTGTCCCGTCCAAAGATGAGGTTGTTATTAACGCAGCCTCACTCTGTCCCGGTTTGTCCCATTTACATTCAAGCGACGGCGTGGACGGGAGAACTTCCCTCCTCCGAGCTGAGAAAACAAAGCTGCAGCCACTGCTGCAACCGAGTTAGTTGATTTAAGTTAGAGATTCCACTTCATCTCTCTCTCTCTCTCTCTCTCTCTCTCTGTCTCCATCCTTCACAAAAACAAACGCGCGCGCACACACACACATACACACACACACACTGTCTGGCTTTCACTGTGTTGTGAGTACTTCACGTGAAATAATGCATTCCCTAACACTAACCTTAACCAGTTTAATACCAGTATGACTAATCTTATTTTTCACCCTAACCCTGTCCTAATTCTAATTCTGACTCCAATGTTAAACCTAAAAAATACCCATCATCCCCTCGAGAACAATGTCTCCTCACAACAAAGCGTTCCACCAAAAGATGTCCCCACAAGGAGAGCTATAACACTGCACCACACACACACACACACACACACACACACAGTGAAGACCCATTGCTCTGATTTTCATTCATTTGAATAACCAATAAGAAGGCAGAATTCTCTAGTGTTTACATTTTCATCCTGTCTTCAGGCAGAACCTCAAATCTGAGTTTCTTTCTCAACAGAAAGTTTTGGTTTCACATCCCCAAGATGAGGGCACAAGTATTTCACTGACAGTAAAAGCACAGCTCGAGGTGAAACAAACTTTGTAAACAGAGATAGCAAACTTTGCCCCCTTGTGGGGACGCAAGATAATGCACCGCAAGGTGGTACACGGACAAACAGAAAGTGCTGTGTCAGAGGTCCCCCGACATCCCACTGTCTCCTGGGAAGTTGTGATTAGAAACCATATTAACATTATTCATTATTAATGTTAAAAAAATGTTAATAGTATTTAACTTACATTCTCCCTCAGGCTAGCCCTTAGGCTAATGTTCAAGCATAGGAGCTAATGTCTAACACTGTTGTTTACAGAGACAAGAGGAAAAGGAAAGAAGTAGGAAACATCAGCGTTAAGAGAAAAACTAAAAGAAAAAGGGCAAAAAAAAAAAAAACATCAGCGTTAAGAGAAAAACTAAAAAAGAAAAAGGGCAAATATATATATATATATATAAACAGTTATTCACAAAATAATTTAATATACTGATCATTTATATTATGTGGTACTACTACTACTCCTAATAATAATGATAATAATAATGGCAATGTATTGTATATTAGTATTTGTATGTGTATATATATATGTGCTGTATATTAGTATTAGTATGTATGTATATATTAGTACCATTGCTTAAACATAGGGTCTCAAAGTCAAATGATTTGGGGGCCATCTCATTGCAGGGCCAAAACCTAACAGCAGGGGTCAGTATACATTATATTGACACAGGGGTGGTTTGCGGCCAAATGTGGCCCACAAGCCGCAAGTTTGAGATCACTGTTTTATACCAAACAAGGACTGTTTTAACATGCTCTACCGATCAGCTCTTGGATTGGATAATCGGACACTTTATCTGCCAAGATAAATACCAATGGCAGTCACGGTCCTAATCAGAGAACACAGAGAGTGGCCTACTTTCTTCCTCACAGTCCAAAGTCCGGACATGTACAGTACCCCAGCCCCATTAGGACCTGTTGTTTTTCTCCATGTCTTTATGCCCTCTTTCAAGTAATGCCCTTAAGGGCTGCACTGTACAGTCTGGGGATGACAGTTAACATTTAGCACACGTGCATTCTGGGAAGTGGTGAGAGGTTGGCTTCTCTTTAGATGCCTGGTGTTATAGCACATGCAGCGCCCCCGAGCTTTAGACAGCAGAGTTACAGTATTTTATATCTATATAATGTCACATCCAGTCTCAGGTGGACACAAAGCGGGGACACACGTACACACATCCAGGGCTATAT